TCTAAGCTATTTCTAGAATCATTTTCCATATCCATGCCATACCCTTTATTTTTTGCTATTGAAATAAAATGTTACTCTTCTTCCAAATGTTCTTAGTTGCTCCTGGTGCCTCCTCACATAGATGATATTGTCCTTTACCTCATGGTGCTGTGTTTGGATAATGTGGAACTGTGTGGACTTTAGGCTACTGTGTGTAGAATGCCTTCTGGATAATTCAAATCTTCCATCTTTCCACAGGTCCCTCTGTACTTACTTAGGTTATTGTTTACATTTCCAATAAAGGTCTTGTGCAGACATACAATGAAGTCTATGTAAAGATCCTGCATGACTTTGTCAGATTTTCCCCTAAGTTTTAAATGCTGTCTTTTTTTTTTTTGGTCTTTTTTTCAGACAGGGTCTCAATGTAGCCCCAGCTGACCTGGAACTCACTATGTAGACCAGGCTGGCCCTGAACTCACAGAGATCCACCTGCCTCTGCCTCCCAAGTGCTGGGAGTAAATGTTGTATTTTTAAAAACTACATTTTTATTTGCTTGGTGCTGGTTTTAAAGACCATTACTAACTTGGTATATTGATTTTGTAATAAGCAACTTACTAAAATATCTTCTTTTTAACAATTTGTCTATTTCCACATCACCTGTGAGTAATGATGGTTGTTTCTTGCCTCCCAAACCCTCAGTGTGTTTTCTGGTCTCACTGTCCTTGTTAGGATAGTCACTCACTTGAGCAGAGAGGGTAAGGGGATACAGTCCCATGGTCTCTGGGTTTAGTGATTAGGATAGATTTGCTGGGATTCTTGGTAGGTACTTTTAAACAAATTTGGGAAAGATTCATTTGACTGGGACTATCTTCCTTCAAGAAGGGAGCTTAGATATTGGGCATGTCAATATACCTGTATTTGATTGAGGCACCAAAACTTTCTCAAGTTTTCAAGACGTTCCATGGCTCCTGGCCACAAGAACTTGGTGTTAGGTCTCCCTGCTCACCTAGCATGGGCAAGGTCCCGAGTTTGATCCCTAGCACTTGCCAAAAGACAAAAAAAAAAAAAAAAAAAAAAAAAAGACAAAGTTAATGTTATGAACCTGTCTTATTGATGTATCTGAGAAACTTTTGTCTAAATAACAAAGAAAGCATATCATATTTCCTCTAGAAATAAGCTAGGTAGTGAAACTGTAATAAACCTTTTTTTTTTTTTTTTTTTTTTTGAGACAGGGTCTCACTATATAGCACTAGCTTGCCTGGAACTTGCTGTGTATACCAGGTTGGCCTCAACCTCACACAGACCTTCCTGCCTCTGTCCCTTGAGTGATGGGATTAAAGGCTTGTATCACCACACCTAGCTGTAATAAAAATTAAAAATTTCTTTAAAAATTTATTTATGTGCATGAGTGCTCTGCCTGCATGTATGTAAGGGCACTATGTGAGTGCAATGCCCAAGGAGGCTAGAAGATGGTGTCAGACACCCTGGAACTAGAGTTAAGGACAATTGTTAGCTGCCATGTGGGTGCTGGGAACTGACCTGGGTCCTCTGCAAGAGCAGCCAGTGTTCTTAACTGATAAACTATCTCTCCAGCACCTGTAATAAATTTTTATGAAAGCATAGTTTTCTCTTCCTGTCTCTATACTTAAAAAGCTATATTATAATACCCTAGCTTACCCCTTTAAAATGTTTTAACTTATTCTTTAATTTCATACATGTACATAATGTATTTTGATCATAATTCATCCCCTCCCACTCCCTCTGGGACACTTCTTCCCAACATGTCCTCCTAATTTAATGTCTCATTTTTTTCTAATAACACACTGAGTTTAATTGGGGTTGCCTGTATGTGTATGGATGTGGGGTTATTTACTAGATCATGGGCAACTTACCAGTGGCTGTGCCTCTGAAGAAAAAGGACTCTTCTTTCCCCAGCAGCCATTAACTGCCAATAGCCCTCAGCTAGGGGTAGTTCCTCAAGTGCCTCTTCTCCATTCATGTTGGATCAGTCTTGTGCAGGTAGCCACAGCTGCTGTGGTTCATGAGTGCAATGACTATGTTCTGTCCTCTGATTCGTGTGTGTGTGTGTGTGTGTATGTGTGTGATATTGTATGTGTGTGATACAGCGGTTCCATTTAGGGCTGAGCACTCAATAGTCACTTATCCTTAGAACGTTGACCACTTATGAGTCTCTGCATTAACCAATGCCCACCCCCAAAAGCAGCTTTTCTGATCAAGATTGGGAACAGCACTGATCTACAGGTATAAGCTTGACATGTCCACTAGCAAAACAACACTAGCAGGTTCCCCCTCAGGGCTTATGATCTCCCTAAACATGGGGTTTTGACCAGGTTACAGTACTAGGCATGAATTCTATACTACAGAGTAGGCCTCAAGTCCAACCAGAAAGTGATTGGTTACCCAATAATGTTCATGCCACTATTGCACCAAGGGCACATAGCATATAGAGTTCACCACTATGTAAGCCCATTGATGACTTTTCTCTCCCAGAGAACTGCATTGAACCTGTTGGCACTCTGAAAACTAGCCAGCAGGAAGTTTCCAGGTCATTTCCATCATGGTTTCTCTATGTTCTGCAACTAAAGCGTGATGTGTCTTCAACAATATGGCTTTATCTAGTTCTGATCTGTAACCAAGAACAATAGCAATAGCCTGTGTTGCTTTGGGGTCTTTGGGACCTTCCTAACAACTCAAAGGGTTGTATCCCATGCCCGGGATATTCATTTACTAACCAATGGCTTCTGGGAGCAGCATTATCCATCCATGGCAGGGCACCTCTATTCAAGTTTATTAAAATTCAAAACTAGCTTACAAAGTAGTAGATTTCCATAAGGCTTATTATACATCCCTAGTTTTACTTTTTTTTTTTTTTGTTAAGTTCAGGAAAACATTGCTACTTTGAGTTAAAAGCAGCAACATCAAGCATGGTATCCATGCATGCATCTGTCCCTATGTCATCTTGTCCCTTCCCCTCTCATTTGTATTCATTAAATGCTACTGATTGTTGCTTCTGAGTGCTGAAACTTTAATGTTTGAGTCTCACTTCCTAATTTCTTTCAGATTACATTATTTTTTTCTGAATTAGAAGAGTTTTAAAGGCAAAGACAACAGTGAGCAAATTGCTGATCCTAAGCACGGACTGACAGGCTAGGCTTCACCTATCTGGGCATCACTGCCACATATAGCAGCAATGACTTTCCAGGTTTCTTTAGGGACATCCTGGTGGAAATGGTGACAGTGACTGATTTTACTAAATCCCAATTTGTGAAAGAGTTGGGATGACTTAGCCCTGTCACCAATGGAGTCTTACTTTTACTAGAAAAAAATTGACACTGGATATTTGGACTTGTGCATTTGGCAGACTTTTCCTTAAAATGAGCAAATCAAGACTGTCAATTCAAGGGGAAAAAAAAAACCCTTTCAGATGTGCTTGTACTCATAAACTATGAAATTTCATGTGTAAAGTTTTTGAAAACCTGACTCTGATACTGTGATCATCCCAATATATAAGGACTTTTGTAATGAGATACGTGCTGAAGGGATGAACATTTGGAGATCTGTGCAACTCAGCACAAAGTCTATGTGGATGCTTCAGTCACATTCAGGTGCAAGACAGAGCAATGGTTTCAGGGTTTCAGTTGAATAGGGCATGCAACTTCACAGCAAGTTTTGGATTCCACATTACAATGAACTTTTTTCCTTTTTAAAAATAGCCTTTATTTAAATTAGTTTAAGAATCCCTAGAAGTTGTAAAAATAACACGGAAAATTTCTGTGTCTTCTTCACTGGGACTCCCCCACTGGTACTTCAGGCAGTCACGGCACTTTGTTAAGGAAAAAAAAATGAAGGAATAACTCTACTGACTCAGGTATAAGCCTGCTATGTATGACATGGCTGAACATATTTAAACTGTGAAAAAAGTAGGTTCTGAACAAGATTACTAGGTAATCTGGAAGCATGCACACCCCACCCCTTATTTTTGTCCACCTAGTTTGTAAGAGGTAGCATTTGAAGCTAGGCATGGTGGTGTACACCTGTAATCCTGGTACTTGGGGGCCAAGGCAGGATCACAAATTTGAGATCAACCTTGGCTATAGAAACTGCCTCAAATAACAATAAAACCCTAAATACCATTTGCCAAATTTTGTTTTAGTATCAAAACAGGACATCCATGCTGCCAGATAAGGGGTAGTATTAAGGTATGCCATACTTTTCCATACAGATTTGAGTGAAGCTGATTTGCTTCTTATTCTTCAAACATAAATCACAATAGATAAATGTAGACTCCAACTCTCTTAGATTGAGTCACTTGTGAAAGACATTTGCAAAAATGCAAAAACAGTGCTATTTTGCTCACTCAATATTTTTGTTTTGGAAAATAGTTACTTTTGTTATATTAACATGCAATAGATTTTTGTGGGGTGTGGTAGAGGTTGGAACAGGGTCTTGCTATGTAGCATAGGCTGGCCTGGAAATCATGGTATTTTTGCCTCTCTCTGCTTCCCAAGTACTGGAACACAGGTGTGTACTACCATGCCCACCAATAGATTATTATTATTATTATTATTATTATTATTATTATTATTATTATTTTTGAGACAGGGCTTACCTGTAGCCCCAGCTGGCCTGGAACTTACTAGGTAGACCAGGTTGGCCTCAATCTCAGAGATTTGCTTGCCTCTGCCTTCCATAGATTATTTTTTAAAATTAATAATCTCTTGATATGATTTTGTTTTCACTTCAAATGCAATCAACATTGATAGACATAATCTACAAACACTGAAACATTTTGGGGCCTTCTGATTTTCAGAGTTCTTAGGGGTCTGAGGTCTGTGATGCAGTTACTAATAGAAGACACACATCCTCCCACAGGGCTCTGAGATTCACATACATCAGTATAAACCTTTTCTTCCATTAGTTCAAATGTACAACTCATCCAAAGGAAATTACAAATTCAGAAGTTTCCAGAGTGATTGTCAAAAGGGAAAACTCAATACATAGCATATTTTAAAGTGATCTTTTTATTAAAATAACACTATTTAATCTAAATTCAATTATAATTAAGCTACCCATTAACTTTATAGGCTTCCTTTTTTTTTCAGAATCATCTTGCACATAAGCAGTTTTTCAATATTCAAATACCTGACACAGTGACTGAAAAGTGCATAAGCTCCAAGTGTCTGTCTCTATCTAAGCCCTTGTATAGCTGGTCTGGTCTGTGGCCGTGAACACTACACAGAGGGCAGCTGTGATGAGCAGGTGCATTCCTTCATAGAGAAGCTTTGGAGAAAATACACTCCATATGAATAAATGATATCGCAGAGATGTCACCAGAATAATATATGTGGCAACTGGAACAGAGCAAATCAGTGCGTAGCAGAAGCAAGCACGGCTCAGTGCTGAACCACTATTAACAAAACAGAAAACATTTCAATATATATCATAAGAATAAGAACACTTCATCCATACTTCTACTTTGAAAACAACTATGATCATTCATGATTTTGGACTTGGTAGTACCACATTCTCTCTTCTGTGTACCTGTCAGGTCACTGGACGTGGCACTAACATTCTTTTTAAAAATATTTTTATTATTTTTGTCTTATGTGTATGAATGTATTGCCTGCATGTGTTAAGTGCACCCATGTCATGCAATGCCTGTGGAGGTCAGAAGATGGCATCAGATTCCCTGGAACTGGAGTTATGGAAAGTTGTCAGCTGCCATGAGGGTGCTGGGACTCAAACCCGGGTCCTCTGCAAGAGCAGTCAGTGTTTTTAACCACTGAGTCATGTCTCCAGCCTGCAGGGCTAACATTTTTACCGATGTAAAAGAAAAGTAAAATCAGACAGTTGAGATGGCACAGTGGGTAAAGGCGCATGCTGCCAAGCCTGATGATCTGAGTTCAGTTCCTGAGACTTATGGTGGAAGGAGAGAAATGACTCCTGAAAGTTGTCCTCTGACTTCCATATGTGTGCCAAGGCACACACGCACCCCCCCACCCCAATAAATAAATAAATGTAATAAAAAATGTGGAAATAGGAAATCTTTTTTTTTTTTTTTTGTCTTTTTTGAGACAGGGTCTCCCTGTAGCCCCAGCTGTTCTGGAACTCACTATGTAGACCAGGCTGGCCTCGAGCTCACAGAGATCCACCTGCCTCTGCCTCCCAAGTGCTGGGACCAAAGGCGTGCGCCACCACGCCCGGCTGGGAAATAGGAATTCTTAAAAAAAAGAGATAAAACCAAATAAATGTGTAACATATAACAGTCACTTCTGTGAACAATAAAACACAGTAAGAGAAGGGTTAACACCTACCTCTCAATCTTAGAAATGCTTCTAAAACCAGATTTACATAAAAATGACTGAATTTGCAAGAACTGTTACTCTGGACCCTCCCCCACAACCTGCAAAACAGCTATGAAGTATGCACCCCAGATTTTGCATAGCTACTTATTTAAAAATTATATGTATGCACTACTATATTACATGCATTATAGACACTGAATAGAAAAATCACAAAAGGGTGACATACAAACAAACATAATTATACATTTTGTACTTCTTGTTTTCTGGTGGAACATCTCATGCTAAGTTGAAGGAAGGCACTGGAGTAGAGTCTAGCAGGCAATTTAGCAGTGCAGAGAAGTATTTCTACCACATGAATGAGTGCACACCTTATACTTTCAAATCATTAACACAAGTATTAATAATTAATAATTAATATATACCCTATTCTCATGAATCTGTGATTACTTCAGATTTATAAGTTCCATGGTCCCAGCCTCCTCCATATCCCACCCACAGCCTCTGGTCAATCTGAAAGGATCTGTAGATATCCCCACAAATCCTCAAAGGTCAGGCTTTACAGGGTCCTAACCCAAGCTCCAGCTTTGCTGCCTCACCTAGAACCCTGTGAGGACCAATAGCTTATCAGTCTGTGGCCTTTCACACTTGACCTTCATTGGTTACAAGGCAACCTTCACTGTGTAAAAACTTATGTAAGCACTATGGGATACAAAGATAGAGATGAGGGCTGCTGATACATGGCATTGATGTTCAGGAATACAGCACAGTAAACATCGATATGTGTGCATCTGCATGAATGTGTTCTGTAAGGCATACTCAGTCCTGCTGACTGGCAACTCTACCAGGTGCCACTTAGGACATCCTCCCAAACACCTCCTATTTCTAGTCTTATTATCCAGTGTTGGACAGTAACAGTCACTCAGAGGCCAAAGGATGGAACTGTTCTGAGCACCAGGCTCCTCACCCTCCCAACAGGCACCTTTGGTGGATAGCTTGAGCTAACCTCTCCTCTACAACCTCACCTCAGGCTTCACTGGCTCCCCATCTTGGCCTAGGCACAATCCCTCCTTCTGCTGAGTTCTCTGAATGTTCAATCACCTTAAGCCCTTCCCCATAAGTGGCCCCAGTACTTCTTTTGTTTTACTCCCCAAGCCTGCACTGATAGTCCCTACTTGGTATCTGACTTAAAGGCAGGTTACCTTGTCATATCAAGTGAGTGTAACAGTCCTAAGTTCAATGTAAGTACTCAGCACAAGACTTGTGGATAAAGGCTGTGCTTCGCTTTCTCTAGGGAGCATAAATAGGGCATCTATTAGTGAGCCAGTGATCTGTCAAATGGAGCTTCCTTTTTACCTGACAGCACATGGTAAGGTAGGGCTTCCACAAGGTAATGTCCTTGCCCAGAATGTCAATGTCAGCATTATTCATGTTGACTACTGTGCATATTGCTCCTGCAACCTTAGCATAGGATTGTATGTATTGTTGGGAAGTAGGCAGCTCATAGTAATCATAACCTCCAGGTTTTAACCCCAACAGCCTTGTGTAATACACATTATATTGGCAAACTATCATGTGCTATTTGACCTCACTAAGAAGCTAGCTCTGGAACTGAGTTTAGTACCCTACTCCTCCCCCCCATTTCAGACCCAAGCATGTTTGTCTAAAAGTGTCCTCCAGGAGCTTGTAGGACTCTATTTCTCTATGGTCTGTACCTTCCCCCTGGTTCTTACAATCTTTCCGCTCCCTCTTCTACAATGGTCCCTGAGCCTTGTGTAGGTGAAGTTTAATATAGGAGTCCTGTTCAAGGACGAGCATTCTACAGACTTAATCTCTACACTTTGGCCATTTGTGACCTTCTGTGTCTTAGCTGAAGAAATATTGGCAACTGATTACTGCTGGTTGAGGAAGAGCTGATCTTCCTAAAGCAAGGGACTCTAGATAGGCTGACTAGACCTCAGCAGATGAACTTGCACTGAGGAATGTCTGGGAACACTAACTTGACACAATAGCCCTTAATATAAATGACAGAATGTATCAATTTCAGTGGGGGCTATGGGAGGGTGGCAGTGGGGAAGGGGGTATAAAGTTGATTAAGATTGATTGAGATGCTCTGTGTGAAATACACAAAATTTCAATTAAAAAAAAAGTGTCCTGGGCTGGAGACATGGCTCAGTGGTAAGAGCACTGACTGCAGGTTCGATTCCCAGCACCCACACGGCGGCTACAAACCATCCTTAACTCCAGTTCCAAGAGAATCTGAAGCCCTCTTCTGACCTCTGCGGCATTGCATGACATGAGTGTGCTCACATACACGCAGGCAATACACTCATACACATAAAATTAAAAAAAAAAGTGTCCTCCAATTTTTTCTAATCAGTAGATGGGCCGACCCTCATCTTCTGTGTGTGGGGCTAACTCTGTATCAAGGAGAATAATACAGCAAAACAGCCCCAAAGGAAAAAAAAAACATTGCGCCCTTGAGACTAGCTAGAAGGTAAACTATTGCCAACAGGTGTTACAATTATTTATCTCATGATATGAAAGTATTTACAATGAGAAAGAGAAACCAGAAGTTAAGCCATGGGAAGTTCATCTATGGAAAACTCAACTGGAAACTTTAGATGACTTCCTCAACTTCCCTAGTTAGTTTCTGCTGGATGTTGTGGACCCAGATTTGATAATGTAGTTATTATTTATTCTTTAATTGGGAAGCCTCACTTGAGGGGACACTGTGCTCTGCCTGGGACTTTCTCTATTGGTAACTCCATCTAGCTACCTTAAAGGGGTTTCATCAGTTGATTTCTGTTGAATGTTTTGTGTGCCTGATTTGATGGTGTTTTGCTATCTGCCTGTCATCTGTCTGTCTCTTGTTATTTATTTGCTTACGTTGGTTTATTGTATGCTTAATAAACTCATTCATTTAAAACCAGAAATATGGCTATCATAAACCATTCTCTGGTTAATATGAAATATCTTAGGACAACAGGCTTGGCCACTAAGACCTTATCTGATCTTCACTCAAAATATTTTGTCTGCCATTTAGGTCTGGTTATAGTTTTATTTTACTGAAATGAAATAAAAGCAGTGACCATAACTTGATGTTTTAAGCTTAAAAATCAAAGACAAGTCAGAAGTGGTGGCATCTATAATCCTAGCTACTTGATAGGCTGAGGCTAAGGCTAAGGCAGAAGAATCACAAGCTGGTCTGACCAACCTAGCAAGACCATGTCATTAAAAAAAAAAGTTTAGAACTGAGGAAATGGGCAGGAGGCCCTAACCTTAGCTGAGAAACAATTGGCAGCAAATCATTGCTGGGTGAGGGAGAGTTGGTCTTCTTTAAGGGAGTGATGCTAGATAGGCTGAACAGGCTCCAGTATATGAACACACACCAAGAGACATCTGGGTATACAAACTTGACTCAACAGGCCTTAACACATATGACAGAATACATGGAATCCTGTGGGAGGGCTATGGGGGAGGGTGCAGATAGGGGAAGGGGGTCTAAATATGATTAAGATATATTGTATGAAATGTACAAAAATTCAATAAAAAATATACACTGGAAAAAAATTAAAATCAAGATTAAAAAAAAAGGTGGGCATGATGGTATGCAACTGTAATCCTAGCACTCATGAGGTTTTAGTAGGAGGAATGGGGGTTCAAGTTCAGCCTAGATTACATAGGGAGATTCTGTCTTAAAATCAAAATCAAACAACCTACTTTCCACTACAAAAACAACAGGGTTGGTAATATAATTCAGTAGAAGAATGCTTGCCTAGCATGTGCAAGGCCTTGGGTTCAATGCTAGTGCCACAAAAAAGAGAGAGAGAGAGAGAGAGAGAGAGAGAGAGAGAGAGAGAGATTGTTGAAATAGCTTAGTTGGTAAAGTACTTGAGTTGCAAGTATGAGGACCTGAAATCAATTCCCAAACCCATCTAAAAAACTGGACCTGTGTGTGTGTGTGTGTGTGTGTGTGTGTGTGTGTGTGTGTGTGTGTGTGTGTGTGTTTGCAATCCTAGTTCTGGAAAAACAAAAAGGAGGATCCCTAGGGCTTTCTGGCCAACTGGCCAGCCAGTCTACCCTGATTGGTGAGTTCTAGGCTAATGAGAGACCTTATCTCAAAGGAAATAGACTGCATTTCTGAGAGTGACACCTGAGGCTGTCCCTTGGTCTTTACACATGAGCATGTACATTAAAAAAAAAATGTTTCCATTGGTCTTTTATCTCCCTAATACAGATATGTCTGGCTATTTGACGGCTGAAAAGTTAAGTACTGGGTATGTCAAACATTAGTTAAAAGCCCCAGGGATACTGCTCTGCCTAGAAAGTCTGAGCAGAGAGAACCAGCCTTGCATCCCTCCTCATTCTCTGTGAATCTGTATGTCTGGATTCTTCCCCAGAAGTTATACTCAGTAACAAGCCAGTTCTCTGAGACAAAAATGGATGCACCACCATGACTGCTGGGCTCTACTATCTCAGCACTTGATCCCACAGACATGCTTACAGCCCATCCCAGACAGCCAAGGAAGCTTCTGTCTGCAGATCCAATGGAGACACATAGCAGTTTCAAAACCAATGCACAGAGAACATTCTAGATAATTTGCTAAGAGAGGCTGTGCTACTACACTAGGTATCCTGACCACCAGAGCCTCATCTTTCAGCCACTGATGGGGGTCAGGATGAATGTAATTTAAGAGGAACTATCCACAGACTGTTCCAAAGTACAGGTATAGAGTGCCTACAGGTGAATTTCAGGCATTCTTTGTTCTCAGGAAGCTGGAAAAACGTTTTCTCCTCTGAAAGGCAAAGTGTCAGTCAGTTGGTGAAAGTCACTTGCCTTTCTTTCTGGCTGAGGCTATCACAGCCTCTTACTTTTAAAGTCCAGCTTGAGAATTTTGTGTAGCTAATACTAACACTCACTTTTACCTGAGAGAGTGAATTTGTGAGTCATTCTTGCTTTAGGCCCACTGAGTTCAATGCTATCTGGTCCCACCATGGAGATGCCAATAAGAGGCTGAACACTAGTGATTCTAGAATTCAGAAGGGAGTCTGGGTCATGGACATGAACTTGGGGATCTCGGAGCTAGTCTATGGAGTAAATGGGATAAAACCTGGGGCGGGATTGAGGACAAACACATGAAGGGAGCCAAAGTAGCAGCAGAGCCTCAGATGCCATCGGCAGAAGCAAGGGCATGCAGGTCACTGAAGTCAGCAGGAGAAGGCTGGAGACATCCTAAGAGGGGTCTTCCCTGAGCTGACAGTCACCACAGTAAGAGCCCCTCTTCTAATCACAGGCAGGAAGTGGGAATGGGGACTGGGAAGCCCTAACTTCATCTATGAGCCTGGGACAGAGGACATGAGGGGACTGGGGCCTCTGGTCACAGGCAGAGGGTGGTTTTCTGTGATTTAGGCACATTAAAAAAGTATACAGGCACTACTGGATCTAGGAATATGGCTGGTAGCGGTGGCTGTGCACCTCTAGCCAACTGTGAGCCTCTCATGAAACCTTTCAGAGAGGAATAACATACAAACCAATGACGTAGAAGCAACAAATGAGACAAGGGGATACTGCAGAAAAAATGGACAGGGGTGGGCTGCAGCATGTTGCTCAGGCCTGGAGGGTTATACCTACTGAGTGGCACATCTGTGCAAAGGTTCAACAGTAGCAATCTTAAGCAAGCTGGGCCTCCATGCTGCTAGAGGGCACAAGAGTGTACAACTCATTTGTCCCTGAACGTCTGAGTCTCACCTTGTATGTCTACTCAGCTGTCAGCTTCTGTGACTGGGCAGCAGCCTAGCTGCTCAGTGACTCAATCTATACAGGCAGTAGTACCTTCTAAAACCTTTTTCTGGCTTAACCAAAAGGGTTTCTGGAAGTCAAAAGCTCCTCTTTTGCCTTCCCTGCACTTACAATAAAATGAGCAGGAAAGCATTAGGTGGCTCAGAGGTGAGGCTGGTGTTTCCTAGTCCCTACTTCCACTTCCTCCCTATGATTAAAAGAGTGGTTCTTGCTATGGGACATCTCCATGCTTCTCCTGCTGACCTCTGACCTCCAGGCTGCACATCCTCACCTTTGCCAGTTGTATCTGTGCCAGTGGCTCTGCTCTTACTTTGACTTTGCTCCATGGTTTCTTTTATAGGCTTATCTTTTTTGTGTGGTTTGAACTGAGAAACCTAAACCTGGTCCACAGAGTCCCTCAGACCTGACTTGGACCTTTGAGTCATAAACTGTGATTCTTATTTAAGGAAAAGAAAATCATTAAAAAGATTCTCTCACTTTTAGAGTTCGGATGCTGTGTTATGGAGAATAATGTTATTACTCTTAAATTTAAAACAGGCAACTTGCAGTCACATTTGTGCTGAAAGACAAAGCTTGCCTCACCTGTTTGCTTCTGAGCTCAGAAAGTGCACAAGGTGGCTGGCCCAGAGCACAGGCCCCACATATGTTCCAAACACTGTCAGGAATGTGGCTGGAACTTCCATGTAGGTATCTAAACCCACAAAGCCTGCTGAGATGTCGATGGTGGCAATGTTGTTGGAGTTACCCTGGAACACAAGAGAATAGGGATAACACTGCCTCATGGCACATGGCACCAGCCTCCACTGGCAGTGTAAAACACACAGATGACCATACTGGTGTGGAATATATGATCAGAGGAGCAAGGGGCTCTGATTACAGGCAGCTACCTGGCTGCTCCTTAGATTACTGGACTGGCTGTGGCTGAATTATATGTCTACCTACCACATCACTCCAGGCCTAGGAAGGAGGAGGAAAAAAAAAACTCTGCCCAGACATACCTCTTCCAAAGAACTTTGCATATATCAATCTGCTGACTGACTACAACAATCTCGCATCTTCCTCCAGACACATCAACTGTTCTCAGGACAAATGCCCAGATCTCTCCTGGAGGACCTCTGTCTGAATATGGTGCCTGTGGTCCTAGGAGGCCCACAGAGCAGATTCCTTGGATGCTGATGTGTACTTGTCATAGTATGGGCCAGTTTCTGGGGGACTGGTAACTGCTTACTAAGGACCCACTTCTCTATTACCACCAAGAGTCTGCCTGGGCTAGCGGTAATGCAACATGGGACATAAGGCTCTATGCACATAGCTCACCAGGATGTGAGTGGCAGGTTCTTAAGAAAAAGAAAAAAAAAAGATTTCCTAAGATCTAGTCTTTAACTCTAGTCTATTCTGATAATCTCTCATCTGCACCATGCAAATCCTCCATGGATGTAATGATGCTTATAGTCGGACAGTACATATCAATCTACCAGGTTCAGCTAAGGCTCCTCTTGGAAACAGTATGTGAGGCCTGACTGCTTGTTCACTGGCTTTGTACTTACCTTCCCCTCTTGGGCACTGTTCCAGAAGTACCCGTGGGGCCAGGTGGAAAATGTCTATGATGCTACCTCCACACACTGCAGCCCCTCAGATTCTATGCTCATTATAGCTTAGGCCCATCTTGACTCCCACCATATGTCTCCCACAAACCACTGTGTTTAAAGTATGCTTTGGCTTCCTCACTCCTGTTGGGAGTCCCTTCCCTGGGGAGACTGCAGAGAGGGTGGCAAAGAGAGGAAGACAGGATAGTAGGACTAGGGGTGGGGGTCTGGCTCCTGGACTTTGGTGGATACCCAAACACAGTTGGCCAGTGTGGAGAGGGTGACCATGTGGCTCAGCAGTGAGCAGTAAGTGTTACATGTAAAAAGGTTTAACTTATTGACTTAGCACCCCAGTCATACTGATCTGATATACTATTACCCTTGTTGTACCAGGAGGAAACTGAGGCAGAGTTGGGAGACAGTCCAAGTGGAAAGTCAGGAACAAGATTCAATTATCTATATTCCCCATTTTCATGCTGTCAAAGAACAACAGTATTGAGGACAGACAGGGCATGGTGATAGCAAGGCCACCACTCATCTCCTGGGAAACTGATAGTGAAGGGAAAGAGACTCAACTTGAGGATCAAGGGCTCCAGCGAATCTGAATACAGAATGTAGGGAGAGAGACAGGGGATAGATACGGAGAAGGTGACCAAGGGCTTTAGTCCCTTTACTTGAGGAACTCTGCTGATTTAGTCTCCGATTTATCTTTAATACGTAGATGAGTGCTGGCTATAAAAATGCCAGTAGCCAACTGCCTGTGAGTGCATGGTGATGCATGCATGCATGTCTGTGTTTACATGTGTATATGTGTATCACACTGTCCTGTGTTTCATCTCTAATACTGTGGAACCTGGGTTCCAGAAGCTGTTTCTTCATCTATCCCAGGCCAGGTCAAAACTGCTTAGTTGCAGGGGCAGGCTCTTGACTGTACCACAACCCTAGAGAAGGTACAATGTACCAGCCTCAATTTATAGAGGGAAAACAGGCACCAGTAGGCACCTGCCAGGAACTACCTGGTTCAAGTGTACCACAACTTCCTTTAGACACATCATCTTCTCTCAGGACAAGTGCATGGATCTCTCTTTGAGGACTTCTGCTTAAGGGTGGTACATGTGGTCCTAGGAAGCCCACAGAGCTGGATGTTGCTGTAGTTACTTGTCAGAGAATAGGCCAGATGTTGGGGGACTATAATTGTTCACTGAGGAGCCACTTTCGTGCTATAGCCAAGAGTCTGGTTATAGTCCAGCCCTGCTGGGTAATACAACGTGGGACATGAAGCTCCATGTTACACAGCATACAGGCTGATGACAACCTACATTCTGCTAATGATACCCATGTGCCCAAGCAATCCACATGTCCTCAGTTTATGGGAGAGCTCAGTTAACCCATGAGAAGACCAGGGTAGAAAGGGTAAGGAGGGCCAGGGAACACCACAGACTGACCTCAGAGCTGATCTTGGCCTAGTCATACTACTTAAGGAATTACAGACATCTTACTCCAACCATTCTTGGGCTTGGGGTCAAAAGGATAGACAAGGCAAGCTCCATGGGTAAGGTTGAGGACACAGGAAACCAAGAATAAAAGAAGCGCACAGGGAAGAGACTGACCTCTCAGCTGGAAAAACCCCCAGGACTAGAGGGATGGGGGAGAGGGTAGTACCTATGGAGGGGAGGAGATCAAGACAAGATGCCACAGAGCTGGTGTCTACTCAGCCAGGAAGTCGAGTTGTAAAGGGATCTGCAGTGATATGTACCCTCTCTGGGGATGCTGGGGTCGGGGAGAACTGTATCCTTCTATTGGTGGGTATCCTTTGACCCATCAGAACTGAGGTAGGCATATGTTTACCTGTGATGGGTCTTTATATACTGGGAAGAAGTTCTATGATCCTCCAGGCCCTGGGGAACCGACAATTGTGTGAAGATACCCAATAGTCCCCAGTGTGGACAGCCCTGATACCAGGGGCAAAGGCATGTGCAAGTACAATTACTACATTCATTTAAAAAAAAGCACATGAAAGACTTGATGTATTTCCTTAACTGCTTGTAATAAAACAAACCCTGACTAATCCTTCTTGTAAAGCAACAATCCATTGTCTTACTGATATCTAGATGCATCTGATACTCATGCATTCACACAGAGTGTCTTTCTTAATTAACTGTACTTTTAACTTATAAAATACACGAGACTTAAATATAATTCACCATGCATACAGTTCTTTCACTGAATGCACATAACGTTCCAATTTATAAAAAATTTTTCAAAGAAAAGCTAAAAGATAATTGATACAAGAAGTTAATCATCTTCTACCCATGATAATAATGAAAACCTACCTGAAAATAGAAGAATGCTTGACCAAACCAATAATGCATTACAGTGATCTCAGCTGCATCATGTTTCAGGGGCTTCCAGATGAACTTAGTCATTATGGTCTGAATCAAGAGACTAAATGCTAACACTGGAAGATTATGTGGTCTCAAGAGCAATGCTGCCAGAAGAACTAATCCACTATATATCTCCCAAAAACCTACAGTCTTGATTTTGAAGTCTGCAGAAATGATTTGTGACTTAAGCAAGTCTTTGGTGCCCATGAACAGAATGCCAAGGATAAACACATAAACAAAACGAGCTTCAATAATACCCCTAAAAAAAAAAAAAAAAGAAAAAAAAGAAAAACATGTTATAGTCATGTGTACCAGCTAGAAAAATTCAAATACATATATTCCCATTAAAAACATGTGTCTAGTTAGGGAATATTTACATGTGTGGCATAGCTAAACAAGCTGTGATACCCTCCCTGCTACTGGGCATGTCTGCTTGTGCACAAGTGCCCTTGAGGAGTACCCAGAAAGGCCAGTGGGTGTATCTGGGCATGCACCTTTTTGATGGAGTTGGCTTTGGGGAAATCTTGCTTATGTGATCTAAGGATCTCCTGGTAGCAAGATCAGAGTCATGCCCTTGCAACATGCCAGGAGAATCAACAATCTGTTTTGCACAGTTAAATGAAAAATCATTGTATTGGTCTATGACTCAACTGCCAGAAATTCCTTAAGTTCATAAATGCTAATGAGCATGCTCATAGTCAAGTAGATTTAAAAAAGAATTTGCACATTTATATGTACACATATGGACAAAGTGCAGTGGTCCAGTGTTCAGTCTGGGCTCTGCTACTCACTAGCTCTGTTGTTTGGACAAGTAATCATCATTCCTGACACTCAACTTCATTATTTGTGAAAACAAAGTTGTATCTACACATAACATGGTTATCCTAGGAATTATATAAAAAAGTAGACATGAAGTATTTGGCATACAGTAAACACTCAGTAAATATTAAGTACTGTTATTATCTTACCACTTCATTTACGTAAAGAATATAATTTATGATACTATGCTTAATTATTTCATCTTTTTTTTTTTTTTTTGGTCTTTCTGAGACAGGGTCTCCCCATAGCCCCAGGTGGCCTGGAACTCACTATGTAGACCAGGCTGGCCTCAAACTCAGAGATCTGCCTGCCTCTGAGTCCTGAGTGCTGGGACTAAAGGCATGCACCACCATGCCTGGCAATAATTTCACCTTATTTACTGTATATATTCCTAAAACAGTATTTTAAATTTTATTTTTATTTATTTATTTATTAATTATGTGTATGAGTGTTGTACCTGCATGTATGTAAGTGCACCTGTGTTGTGTGGTGCCTGCAGAGAACAGAAGAGGGTGTCAGATCCCCTGGAACTGGAATTACAGATGTTTGTTAGCCCAAACATAGTATTTTAAATAGATTTTATAAATGAGGTATTTTATATACTATAAAAGATGATTGTGGGGCTGGAGAGGTGGCTCAGTGGTTAAGAGCACTGGTTGCTCTTGCAGAGGACCTGGGTTTGATTCCCAGCACCCACATGGTGGCTAACAACCACCTGTAACTCCAGTAATAGGGGAATCCAACACCTTCTTCTGACCTCCATGGGAATTGCATGAGATTTACATACATGTAGGCAATACACTCATGCACATAAAAAAATTTAAAAAAAGATGGTCATGTAAAGTAAGGCTAAATAAATTTTAAACAAAATAGTAACATAATAGTGTATTTATTTTATAAAATGAATTTCCTGTATCATTCCTTTTTTTTTTTTTCTCTATCTTTTGTGACACAGGGTCTCCCTGTTACCCCACTTGGCCTAGAACTTGCTCTGTAGACCAGGCTGGCCTCCATCTCAAGAGATCTGCCTGCCTCTTTCTCCTGAGTATTTGGAATAAAGGCATATACCATCACACCTGGCTTGTATCATACTTTCTTACAAAGTTTCAAAAAAAAAATTATACACGCACTCATAAAGTATGCCTCTGTGTGTGGGTTAGGTGTATGTGAGTGTGGGTGCCCTCAGAGGACAGAGGTGTCAGATCCCTTAGGAACTGCAGTTACAGATGTCAACTGTCTGACATGGTTGCTGGAACTTGAACTCAGGTCCCTTGGAAGAGCAACAAGTGCTCTTAAACACTGAGCCATCTCTCTAGCCCCTCTTTCTTACAAAGTTTTATGTAGTAAAAAAATTCCTCTTTAGTATAATTACTTTAATTTACTGTGGGCCACACATGGGGCAATGTGGCCTTGGCTGAGGAGCTGGGTTCAGGTATCTGGCACGCCTCAGGCCCCATGTGCCTTAACATAAAAGCTAAAGACAGGATCATGTGGGTTCCAATAAATCAGAAGTCAGGAAGGTCAGAGCCATTAAAGATGTTTCAAAGAAGAGGCTGTGTCCCAGTAGGTGACACCAGAGTGGCTGGATGAAGAAGAGAAGGGAGAACATCCAGATAAGTCCTCTGCACAGTTAGTACTTCTCACTCCTAGTGTTTCTATTTGACCTTCCATCCTAGCCATGCCTGGGTTTCTGAGTGAAGGAGAAAGGAAGGAAAGGTTGAAAGAAAAAGGTTTTCAAAACTTGGTGAATATGGAATAGTAGTAGATGCAAAGTTAGAGAGATCAGGAGCCGAACAAGTTTAGAATCAGAGCACTTTTGGAACAAGGTAGATCTGGAATCAGGACATACTTAGAATTAGGATAGATGGGGTGAGCGATGGATGCATTTTACAGGAAGAAGGGGTATGTTCAGAGAAAAGGCAAAGTGCTATTGTCTGGACACCAACTAAAGATAAACTGCTACAAGCAGGGAAGGTAAAGTAAGGTGATCATAGTCTTGAGATGAGTGATGCTGAAATCCAGTATGTAGATCTGGGTAGAAATGAGGAATGCATTAACATGTTGCACTTGGAGATTAAACAAATATCCTCAGATGTAACATATAACCTTGACATCTGCCTAAAGTTCAGACTCCAAAGCCAAGAACCTTTGAGATGTCTCTATATAATGTCCCCAGCATCCTCAACCCCCATCTTCTTCATGTCCCTTCTTGGCTGCCTCAGGTGAAGGCTGCCACACTGCTATTATCTGCTGCAGGCACCTGGTACCACTCCAACCTCCCTTTCCCTGACACTCAACACCTGTCAGCAGATGTTTCTTGGTGTTCTCCTGAGCCTCTGGCTATAGCCATTGGTTCTCAATTTTGGTGAATTCTAGATACCTATAAAGTACCAAAATGAGTAAAATGGAAGGCCACAGTCTATGTATGATCTTGGGTCCTAAATATGATCGTTAATATTTTATCAAATTAGTCTTTCCATATAAATATAAATAAGGAAATATGTTTGGTAAATTGGCATCATATAACATGCGTATTGCTTCACAACACCTGCCTGTGTTCTATGAAAACTCACTAACAGCTGTAAGATTGAATTACAGAGCTTCAACATAACAGAATTGTTCCACTGCTGCTGGGCAAATGCACTACTTACTTTTTCAACTGTAAATGATGCTTCAGTGAGTATGCTGGTGTCCTAATCCCAGCTGCTCCTCTGCTTGTATTCTTGAGATATATTTGAGAAAAGAGATAGCCACACTAAGAAGGTCAGCCACACCTTTGCAACTTGCCTCTGGATAGGCCTGTCTAGCCATTTCTAGCAGTTCCACCACATTACCACTCATGTGGCATGCAAAAACCAGACTCATGACTGAGTCCCCTTGGCTTGTACAACGTGAGTTCCTGAATCTTACAAGAGTACACTTAAATTATAAGGATGCTCTGCTTCCTTTCCCAACTTCTGGGAGTATCCACTATTACGATCCTTGTTTCTGCAATCACACCTCAACTGAGCAAAACCAAACCCTGGAAAATGCAGGTTGCTGTTAACTCATTCAGTCCTATGACTTAAATTATTTATTAATTTAATAAACAATAAATTCAATGACTTTACTTTCAAGTTATCTTTCTTCTAAAAATCCTAAAAGAGTACTAACAGAGTCGTTCACTAAGGTTTTCTTGGCCAGGCTATCAGCTGCAAATGAAATCATCCATCATTCACAAAAATTAAACTTCAGCATTTTAAAGACTGGCCTGGCATTTTTTTTTTTTAAACAGGAAAAAAAAAAAAAACCACTGAAACATACATTAAAGCAAATCTCTGTGTCTCCATTTCACTTACTTTGAAATGCCTTTGTTGTCTGGTTGCCACGGGAATAGCACATTTCCAATAGCGGCTCTATAGCAGAAGACACCCAGCAGCCCGAGTGCTAGAGCTACTTTGGACATGGGGGAGCACCCCCTTTGAATCAGCATGAAGATCACAAGCAGAGAGAGGGCAGCTAGGCCCGAGAGTTGTACTTTGTGGTCAGAGCTGAAATGAGACAGAAAATGTCCAAACTACTGCTAAACAGAACTGGTGATATACAAATATATATTGAGGACTTTAAAACCAGTTGATTTTTCTAGAACTGCCCCCCCAAAAAAACCCGAAAATAAAAAACAATATTATCTAAATTCAAATAGTTGTTAAAATGTCACAAAGACTGTCGAGCTAGAATCTCACTTCGTACTCTTAGGCTCAGAGGTTGGGCAGTTAGGTATAAACAGTTTTGTAGCCCCAGTCGATTTACTTCGTCCTCACCCTCTGTTGCTCTCTTACACAGTCAACTCTCCTGGCCTCAGTCTCAGGCAGCTGTCATACTGAAGAGAGGTGCTAAGGCTATGTGTACAAGAACTCTGGGAAGGCTGGCTCCTTTCTGTTATTCACATAGTCCATGCTCATAAAGCTTAGACACTCAATAGCTGTTAATGGATAAGTACATATTCTGGAAGATATACATAGACACAGAAAAAGACTTTAGCAAATATAAATGAAGTTGGGCATAGTGACATACATTTGTAATCCCCACACATGGGAGCCTAAGGCACAAGGATCACAAGTCTGGCAGCCTAGGTTGCACAGCAAGACCCTGTCTCAGAACACATAAACACACTCATCCACCCACACCCACCCACCACCACCACTACCATCACCACCACCACAACAAACAAAATGAAACAAAACCCCCCCCCCCCCGAAAATGCAATGAACAGATGTGGCTGTGTCAAGATGGGAAGAGATGATTAATATCACAGGCTATACTCTGGCGGGTTTCTGCTGTACTGTAAAATGCACATCTCAGGTATTCTTCTGGATTACTGCACACCACCACAGAGAAGTGAATTTAGACACCTTTGGAGTGGGCAGCTGCTGGGAAGCACCAATAGGTAATTTTACAACCACAGGATTGGACTGAGACATGGCCTCTCATTAGCCTCCACTCCCTCTTTGCTTCCTGATCTCCAAAGTGATGACCAACTATTGTCTTCTCTCCAGGGCTGCTGTGTAGGCATGTGGCAGACACCTAAAAGATGCCAGTTGTTATTGTGGGATTACCAAAGTTTGATAATCTAGTTAATAGTTGGGAGAATTCTCTGTGAGAGCCACTTGGTCAGAGAAACCAATGAGTCCTGCTTTTGATGCCTACTCACAGGTTGGCTGGACAAATATGTGGCTCTAGAGGCCTCACATGCTTTTCAGGCCTGGGCGGTATCATTCATTTTTGTTTCTTCACTGCATAAAATCTTGCCATAGTATCAACTTGAAGTTTTATAGGCACTAGTGGGAGGAGTGCGTATCATCCTCTGTGTTGCAATTTTAAACAGTTCTGTAATAGCAGGCAGACCTTGTCTGTCAAGTCTTGACTTTCTCAGCTTTTGTTTCTTCTGTTCACTTCAGTCCCTTCTTCAAATCCTCCTTATCTACCCCAATGACAGGCTGTAGTTTCAATAGAAGGCTTTTAGGGAATGGCTAGAGATCTGCTACTCTAGGGGTGGAGAGAGAGGAATGAGAAAGGAGAATCAGAAGGCAAAGCTGCTCCAGAGGCCTGAGCCCCTTCTCTACTGACCTTGTCCTTGATCCCAGAACTACATCTTTACCATAGTGAGCATTTTAAAACTCATAGGTTCTCAATCATTAACAATGACTTAGATTCAGCATTAATAAGTCAAACCAATTAAGCTAGCCTCTCAGTGATTTGTCTTTTAAGATTTATGAGGCTAGAGTATACTTTCCCATTTCTTTAGATCTCAAATATTATCCTAGTACTAATATATATATATAAAAAAAAAAAGGCCAAGTTGGGCATGGTGGTGCACACCTTTAATCCCAGCACTTGGGAGGCAGAGGCAGGCGGATCATCTCTTTGAGTACCAGGCCAGCCTAGTCTACAGAGTGAGTTCCAGGCCAGCTGGTGGTACAGGGAGACCCTGGCTAAGGGGGAAAAATAGGGCAAAATGAGGAAAAAGAAAAGCACATGTGACATTCAGATTTAACGGGTTCTAGCCTCTGGGTCATGCTCACCTGGTAAGCCAGTGGCTGAGGTCAGGCCGATGGGCCCCCTGTACTCCTGTCTGGTTCAAGGACCGCAGCAGCCGGCAGCAAACCAGCACTAGCCATGGACTTGCCAGCACTGCCCACCACTTATAGCCTCCTTGTGCTTCAGCCAGGGGGATGCCTTTACCCGCTCTGTCAGGCTTAGGGACACTGTAGCCCGTGCTGTCCTGTAGGGTACAGGCAAAGATGCCTTCAAATCCTTGTTCCACATGGAAGTGATGCTGAGGTCCATAGTCATCTCTCAGAAAGTAGCTCCTACAGGTTTCCTGGCTCAGAGCCAGACACAGGGTATTAACAAGGAAATACCAAGTCTGGTGCTCTTCTTCCACAAAGCTGCTGGCTCCCAGGCTCAGGACATGGCCCACTGTGCCCAGCAGAAGAAGGAGTTCCACTTCTGACCACTCTAAGTTGGGATGAGCTGCATTCTGTTAGGAGGAAATACACAGTGTGGAGGATAATGTGAATATATATATATATATATATATGTATGTATCACTCTGCACATGCTTAAGCCTCTGTGATAGATACTGTTGTTCTTCCCATTTAAGACCCACTGCCTACAGTGGAGGGAACCCCTTGCATTAGGGTCATAGCCCCTCTTCTTACACCTCCTTAGGGGAGGTCAAGATGCTTTCATGCCAGCTAGGAGAACATGGATATAGCATATCAGTCAGCTGGTCTCACCCTGAACTGTAAGTCCTAAGTTCAATGATAAGAGACTGAAAACAAGCCCTCAACGTAGTGATGGGAACCCAAAGCATTGCGTGCAGATCCTGGCCCAGCTGTCATATTCCCTCTTCAGTGCTAGTTCCTTTCTCCATGAATTTTTCAGAATTCCATGTTTCCACTATAGTGGTTACTTCTGCTGAAATGACAAAGATAGTAACAGAGTTCTAGCCCTTAAAATGTGTTAGGGCTTGGATACAAATACTGTTCCGCCCCCAAGAAAAACAACTCACATGTTGAAAACTTGGTCTCCACTACCAAAAGGTGATTAGACCAAGAAAGTGCTAACTTCATCAATGGATTAACCCATTGATGACTTCATATCTGAATCAACTATTAGGGCATGGGTCCTGGTTAGAGAAGGAGGTCACGGGGTCATTCCAAAGGGTATATCTTATCTCTGACCTTCCATTCTCCCTCCTTTCCTCTCTCTGCTTCTTAGCTGCCACAAGTTCACTTTTTTTTTTTTTTTCAGCTAAACCTTTCCACTGAGATGTTTCTGTCTCAACATAGGTCCACAGTAATGGAATCAGCCAGACATGGACTGAAACTATTGGAAACTGTGAGCCAAAATAGATCTTTCCTCCCTTAAATTGTTGATTTTGGGTATTTTGTCACAGCAATAAAAGACTGACCAACACAAATTAGTAACTTAAAACAGTTCAAGAGTTGGTGAGATGGCTCAGCAGAACCCTGAGTACCCAAGTTCTATCCTTGGGACCCATATGGTAGGAGAGAATTGACTCTCATAGTTGTCCTTTTGACCTCCACACACACACCATGGCTCGCTCTCTCTCTCTCTCTCTCTCTCTCTCTCTCACACACACACACACACACACACACACAATTTTTTAAAAAGCAGTTCAAGATAAGAAAGCTCTTGTTACTTATTGTTTTTATAGCTATTAATTGTGTGTAGCAAGGCACCCAGAGAAATACCATGAACCCAGATACATCCTAGAGACAAACATGGTCAAAGACAATACCTCACAATAGGGGACAGAGACACAACAGGGGGTGGGGTCTCTGAAGGCCCTATGTTGGGATGGGGGTCAAGGGGACAGTATACTGCATGGGAGCTGGAGTCACTGCATAGGGTTTCTCAGTCCCAAGCTCTGGACAGTGTGGAATCTATTATAACTACACATCTCTTCCTCACTGCTCCATCACTACCACCAAGCTAATGAACAAAGGTGTCAGGCCAGAAACCAAGAATTTCACAGCAAAATGTGAGCCTTACAAAGAAACCTTCACTTTGTGAGGTAGTAGAGAGGAATAGGGAACCAAGCCCTCTTTGGAGCCTCCTGAATGCCCATCAGTTCACTGTGTCTTGGCTGTAGGTCAGAGACCTTTTCTAAGACTCAGGTATACACATGCTCCTGGTCTTCCATGGCTAGAAGCCCTACTACCACCTCATCCCGAGTCCAGGAATGCTCTTTCTTGCCGAGAATAAAAGCACATGACCAGATCACATATTAGAACATCACAGGCCAAGATGCCAAGAGGCCTGGGATGGGCTGCTGAGGTCCTCTTGTAGTTCATTTGGTGCGTGGTCTTTCCAGGGCACCTCCGGCACTCACTGCTGGTATACACCAGGTGTTCTTTCAATTTCTTTCTTTTTTAAAAAAAATTTTATTTATTTATTTTTTATATAATGTGTATGCATGTATTGCCTACATGTAGGTAAGTGGGCACCCATGTCGTGCAATGCCCACGGAGGTCAGAAGAGGCTGTTGGATCCCCTGGGACTGGAGTTATGGACAGTTGTTAGCTGCCATGTGGGTGCTGGGATTCAAACCCGGGTCTTCTGCAAGAACAATCAGTGTTCTTAACTGCTGAGCCATTTCTCCAGCCCCGATTTCTTTTCTTTAAAAAAAAATTATTTTTTTTTAATGTGTGTGTGTGTGTGTGTGTGTGTGTGTGTGTGTGCTTATTTATCTGTATGTGTACTATATGTATGTAGTACCTGCAGAGGCCAGAAGAAGGCTTAAATCTGAAACTGTAGTTACAGGCAGCTGTTGAGCCATTTGATGTGGATGCTGGGAACTGAACCGGGTTACTCTGCAAAAGCAGTAAGTGCTCTTAACAGCTGAGCCATCTCTCCAGTCCCTGTTTAACCAACTTCTGATGAATGAAAGATTTGCTGACAAGCAGAAAATCAAAAACAAAACTTCAAACAAACAAATAGCCCACTCAGAAAGACCACACTGTATGCCCAGGAACCAATCATACCTTCCTCAACAGAGTGCCATCGATGACCATCCTGGCCAGAGCAGACAAAATTGCACAGAGCAGTGCAGAAACTAGCACCATCACGCCCCCTGCTGCCAGCCATGGGAAGCTGCAGAAGTAGCATGAGCTCTCAGACGAAGTGCACACCACGACGTGAATGGCCGTAAGAACCAGAAATATCAAATAAAAGAGCAGAGAAAAAACAGGAGACAACAGAGCAATGTCCAGTTCAGCCTTTCTGCACAGCACATGTGGGATGCTAATGAGGAGCAGGGTGAGAACCTGGAACAGAAGAAGACCAATGGTGTCTATGGAAGGTCAGGTATAGGGAAGCCCACTTGAAATGTACCCATTCCAATCTGCTGCTTACATTGCATTAGCAAAAAGGAAGAACCAAAAACCAAAATTTTTGCCTGCCAAAAATACTTAGCTTAATTTATATTTTTATCTCCTTTAGCAATACCAAATGAAGCCAACACCTGCAGATACTTTGTGTAATCTCATAAGTCAGGACACACAATGGAAAAATTAAGAAAGATCATATTTTCTGACAGCAATGTTGCTGTTGTTACTGTTATTTTTAGACACAGGATAGCACTGGCTTAGCCATCGTCCTGCCTTAGCTTCCTGAGTGCGGGGACTATAGACATGTACTACCATGCCCAGAAATAATATTATGTATTTTTAAAACTATCATATTTTGACTGAGTTACAAAATCAATTTAACGTCTGAACCATAACAGTGTGAGCATGTACCTCTAAAACCACGACAGTCCCTATCACCATTGAATAGATGTCATACTGGGCCACTTGTGTGCTCAGGGACAGACTGAGAGTCTTCAGGGCACCAAGGTACTGCCTGAGGACTTTGGTCCCCAGGCCAAGCAGGATGTCTGAATGGTTTTCTTCCAAGTGCAGTTTGACCCAGTTCCCATGCAACCTTTCTGCCATTTTAAATTGCTCAAATCCAGGATCTGCCAGACAAAAAGATTACACACAGTTATAATTTCAGCATATTCACTTATTCTTGGCAAATGTTTTAGAACTGACACCTAATATAGACAATCTGTTCCTAGGCAGGAGGGGTTGCTGACACCTCAGTAATACTGTAATAACTGATGATGTGCATCTATCCATTGCCAGTGCTACCAGGGCCTGGGTACTTAGCATACAGAGTAGACAGAAATAGCTACCCATTGCTGGGCCTAGACCCCTTTTCTACTTCTCTCATGTGGTCTTATCTCTTCTCTTCCTTTCCCTTTGTCTCTTTCCACTCTTTCTTCTGAAATGCACTCCACCAAGAGGACCTGGTTTCACAAAGCCCTTCTCATCCTCACAGTATGTACGAGGAACCCTGCCCAACCCTCCCTATATCCTCTGCATAGGCTTTTTTGCCCTAATACTAGCTTTCTTAGTTCTGTAATCTCTCTTCATATCCCTCTTTGGAAAGGCTGAGGATTCTCTAGTCTCTTCTTGCTCACAATGGCCAGTGATGCAGCTAGCATTAAGTCCTCGGCTTCTGGACCCAGGTTTATGGTTGACAGCCTTTAAGTCTCCATGGTGTGATGCTGGAGACCAGGGGCTGAAGGTCTTCTTTATCGATCTAGTCTGAGTCTTTGCTATATTATGCTTACTTGTGACTAAATAGAATTTTCCTCCTACAACTGTCTGCTCTTTAATAATTCAGCAGGGCCATAGGTGCCTATCACAGCCTCCACCACCCAACAGTACTACACAGTGATCTTGTGAGCACACCTCAAGCTTCACCTTCACAACAGCAACAGAACATAATAGCAGGCTTTCTACTGCTGAGGACCAGGGTCCAGTGGCATAACTCCAATGTGAACACTTTAGGCTCCCCTTCCCTTTACTGCTGGTGGACATAACCTGGACTGAGAACCAATAGGCAGGACCACTTTAAGCAGCTCACTTACTTCTTATACAATGGCCCATGAGAAAGGGCATTATGCCTATTCTCTGAAGGAGCCAACAGATACAGAAGTAAGTCATTTGGTCAAGTTACAGAGTGAGTAGCAGAAAGCATGATTCTAAACTCTGACAATAAGTTCAAGAATGGAGTCCTCACCTCTATACCACTCCAAAGTAGGGGTATCTGTGTTTATACTCCAAGCTTCCAGAGACCTGTGCTCTCTAAGTGAGCCACAGAAGCTTGGTGGCACCTGTATTTACATCTCATAGCCTCCAAAGAGATTCATAGAGGGTGCCTGTGTCTATAATCCACAGCCTCCATAAGTAATTCTTAGAGATCTGGTCTGTCTATATTCCACGCCTCAACAAATCTCCACAATTACAGAGACATAGGACACTTGTGTTATATCTCACAGCCTCTATAAAGGAGTCACAGAAACCTGGAATACCTGTTTATGCAGCCAAACAAATACTTCCTGAGCACTGACTATGAGCAAGAAATACAACGGTGAACAAATAGATATAATTCTTGCCTACTTGGGCACAGATGTAGAAGTATTCACAAACACAAACAAATGTAAACAAAATACCATGTTGAAGGCATGGATATGTATAATCACAAATTGTGAAGAATGCTACGAAGGAAAAACAGAGGGTAGATCAAGAGATTTCTAGAAATGGGGATGAATTGATTTTAGATCGGAAGTGGAATAGAGGACAAGGATGGTCTGATGTTTAAGCCAACTGTAAAGGATACCCAAGAATCAACCAGGTGAAGAACTAAGGAAGAGCATCCAGTCACTATAAACATCTTGTGGAAGGTTCCTGAGGCAAGAAAAAGCTGCTCCTACCAGAACGCAAAGACAGCCAGATGGTAAGTTGTATCCAACTGGGCTGGATGCTGTGAAGGATTCTGCTGGTCTTGTTATAGGATCTACAAGGTAGAACATGTACTGATACTGTAGATACATATATGTCTCCTGGGGTGAAGGACCTGCAAGAATACCTCCTTACTCTTGCAGGCTTGTTTTCTCTTCACTTAACATGGTTCTTAATTTTTTTCTACCCTGACATTTCTTATATCGAACAATCCTTCAGTAGCTGTTTTATTTGTGTTGCCAACATAAAAAAATACATAAATTACCAAACAATGCCAGGCTTGGTGGCTAATGCCTATAATCCTAGCTACTCCAGAGGCTGAACTAGGCTACTAAATTCAAGGCCAGCCTAGATAACTTACACTATCTCAAAATAAAACTAAAAAGTGTCCTGGGGATATAGTTTAATGGTAGAGAACATGTCTAGCATGTATAAGATACTAGTTTCAATCCCTAGTACTGCAAAATCAACCAACCAACTACCAACCAGCCACCAACCAACCAAAAAAAAAAAAAAAAAAAAAAAACCACCCCCCACAAACATTAAAAATCCAATCCAACCCAAACCAACCAACCAACCTTCCCCCAACACCCCCCCCCCCCACAAACCCCAAATTTTTTGGGGGGGGGGGGAAAGTAACTGTTGTACTTGATCTAGACTAAAACGGGCATGAAAGCCATGTTTCACCTCTAACAAAGTCCTTCATCCAGGCTCTTAGACTAAGCATTTGCTCAGGAAGTCCTCCTGCCTCTTGTCACAATTGGGTCCTAGTCAGTTTCCCAGCTGGTAGGGTATGTCTTCCACAAGTAACATTCACAATGTTCACCCTATAGGCCATATCCCACAACTTCAACAGGAAAACTTATCAACATCGTGCTAAATACTTACTCAAACACAAAGTGCCTTCTTTAGACTCCTGAAAAAGTCCTACGGCCAGATGTGTTGTCTATGATGTGCTGAACATAGAATAAATCAACTGAAAATGTGATTTAAATGATCTACACAGGGACCCATGGAAGTATACACTCTTGGAATAATTCCTACTGGCATGTAAACATCCCTGAGCATCTCCAGCTTAAAGAAAATATCTCTCAGACTACAGTCTACCTCTCTATTGCCCTTATCTGTGTCTTTTCCAATCAGGCTTTCAGTACTACATGAGGTGTCACTAATGACTCCATATCCTTAGACCCAGCAGTTAGTTCTCAGTATCTCTTTATTTTATAATGTCAGCATAATGTCTCCTTATTGAAATTCTTTTCAAGGCTTCCTGGACAATCCTTCCTTTCCTCACCCCAATCTCTCAATGCCATGCCTTACAAATTTTCTCTTGCCATGGTCTTTCCTACTTTACTGCATGGCCACCTACCTATTTCTTTACTGTTCAGCTGAAAACCATGGAGTTGTTCCTTTGGTCTCAGGTCTTCTTATGCCTTATCCCAGTGCATCAACAAATACTGTTTTGCTATCTCCAAAATACATCCAGAATATAGCCATTTCTGGGTTCCACTATCATGCAGGGCTCTCACCACCTCACCTCTTATCAAAATGTTAAAGTGGCCTCTGGTCTGCTTTCCTCCTAAAGCACAGGACAGAACTCCTAGCAGGAACTGGAGGGAATCCCTGATAATACAGCAGCTCTATAGTGTACTCCTTAAACAAAACTAAAAGTTTCTCTGATGCCTAAAAAGCCCCCACACCTCTGAAGTCATTTCCTGTGCCCTCTGACCCTCAGTCTCCAATGCACCCTCTTGGATACAAGGCTAGGCTTGTCCTACAAGCCTACATTGCCCTTCCCTGTTCATTCTTTTTCTAGGGTTCTTGTTATCATCTGGTATCAATCACATAACTTTTTCTTCTCTCTCCTCTGAAAGGTTCCATAAGGACAGAGATCTTGTGCCACTCAATGCTTTATCATGCCAATACTTTTTAACATGGTGTCCTTGGTTCAAAAACAAGAACTTGGTAAATATTTGTTGAGTTAATAAATTTATGAGAGATTTCATTTAACTAATTGCATCTGTGAGTGACAGTTAAGGGCCTAAGAAAACAGGAATATAATATGCATAATTATGCATAATATGAATAATTAAAGAGTGATGACTGCAAAGTATTTCATTACAGATTGCATACCAGAAAACATATCTGGAAAACACAAGGCCCATGGAATCATGTACATCTTACAGAAATCACTAATAATTGTCTTACCTTTTTCATATGATGGTATATTCTCTTGTAATAGTTTGCTAAGCTGTAATGTATTTAAATGCAAAAATCTCAGTTGTTCTCTCATTGATTTTCCTTCTATAACTGGGAATAAGAGGCTCCCTACATTATCTTTGGGAATCGGCAAACCAAGTCCTATTGCTAGTGTTGCAGCCAAGTCAGTCTGCTGGACATGCTTTGGGTGTCGGATATCACCTAGAAAAAAAGAAAACAAGTAGCAGGTTTCTACAAGGTAGGCAATGGCAGTTATTTTGAATTTGAGTGCCCACAGCTAATTTAAGTCAAATTGCCATTTCTTGAAATCACTCAATGTAGACTCACACAGAAACCACCTCCTTGCCTTTCATGTCAATAAATTTACCATCTTCCCTTAAGTAGCTTTCAATACACTGCATAGAAAGACTAATACAAGAAATGTAGTTAGTGAGATTGCAGCATTGGACATGGAAGTAACAAGCAGCCAAACAGATGGTGAGGGATGGTTGCTTGGATGATGTCAAGTCAACAGGGTTAGGGTTAGGCCCAGACCTATCAGTGGCTCCTGAGCTTGGGTCTTTTTGTGGGAAAGCAGAATGACGCTGGGTTCAGCTAGGCAGGTGTGATCACTGAGTAGGACAAGTAAGAAGCTTGCTTGTTCATGTCATCTTTTCAAGTCTGCAGCAGCTGTCCTACCAGCTTAGAAGGAGAGTGGCTATGGTATCTGGACACTGGGCAGAGCTCTGCTTTCCCACTGTCCAGAACAACCCTGGATGAGAGGTAACCTAGTAAAGATTCCTCATCTGTAAAGAGTATGAGCCCCCCCCCCAACTCCTATGCCTACCCAAGAAGCTGAAGAACAGATCTATAGGGCTGCCTGAGCCAACAGCAAAGTCTTCCCAGACAGCTGTGCTCAAAGCTTCTTAGATACATGAATCTTATGGAGAGTTTAATTGCAGTAATTTTTGGTTGTACAGACTTTCTCATTTGGTCAAGTTTAAGGGGCATGATGGTGCACACCTTTTATCCCAGCACTCAGGTGATGGGGCAGGTAGATCTCTAAGTTCCTGGCTTGCTTGGTCTACCATAGTGAATTCTAGGCCAGCCAGGGATACATAGTGAGCCTCTGTCTCAAACAACCCACCCACCCACCTACCTACCCAACCAACCAACCAATCAACCAGGAACAAAAAAATCATTTGGTCAAGTTTATTTTCTAGACAAACTTTCCACTCTAATTAGTCATTGCTTATTCTCTTCTAGTTTTCTTCTACTATTTTCTTACACCGTTTGAACTGAAAAACCCAAGCAAATGTAAGCCAAAAGCAAGCACAACACAAATCTACCTTCAATTAATCAGATACACCTCAAAGACTGATGCATGTCTACCATGATGACATAAGTGGATTCCACATGATGTTTTAACTCTACCAAATCTGGGTGCTGACAATCAGGATTCCAAGCTCAAGAGGAAGGAGCTGATTTCACAGTTCTGAATGTGAGCTGGAATGCCAATGCAAACTCAAGTCATCTTATCTTTAAACATTTCCTTGCTCTGTCCAGAAACCTGATGAGGCCCAGCATTACCTCACAGTTCTAGCTCTGAGAGAGTACATCCTACCAGTTCTACTTGAGGGACCAGGGGACCTTGGAGAAGCCAATCAGGCCCTGAGAAGGACACAGGTGTGGTAGCACTCAGGGAATGTTGCACAAACAGAGGGCAACCAAGGGATCAGAGACCACTGGATCTTGCCTAAAGGAACTGGAACCAGTATGAAGATGCTCCCACTGGCCAAAGATATGACAATTAGAATATTTAAAAGAATAGTAGCAATAGTGAATGAAAACAAATCAATATGCTTAAACCTATGACTTTACAATGTTATTAAGAAAAGAAGTTTAAGTGGTCATAGTTAAAGGATAATAATGAAGCTGTCGATTTGAAACTGGTGATTAAGTGGGAGGAATAATTCATCTAGTCTCTTTTATGTAAATGGTACCACAGGGAAACAGAAAACTATATGGGAAATTTTCTTTATAAAATTAATCTTATTGCTTTGCTTTGAATATCAAAATTCACGTGACAGAAACCTAATTTCCACTAGTGTTGGGAGGTGGTGTCTTTTGATAGGTATCAGCTCATGTGCCCTAGTGCCACTATTAAAGGGCTTGGTGGGGGCTGGGGAGATGAATCAGTGATTAAGAGCATGGGCTGCTCTTACAGAGGACCTGGGTTCAGTTCCCAGCACCCACATGGCAGCCAACACCTGTCTATAACTACAGTTCCAGGGGATCCGATGCCTTCTTCTAGCCTCCTCAGGCACTGCACAACATGGGTGCACCTATCTACGTGCAGGCAATATACTCATACACATAAAATAAAAATAATAAATAAAAAAATTTAAAAGGCTTGGTGGAAGGAATCTGGTTCTTTTTGCCCTTCTGTCTTCTGCCATGTGGGGACCAAGTATTTCTCCCCTTTGGTGGGTTCAATAGATAAGGCATCATCTTGAAAGAAGGGAATAGCCCTCACCAGATTCTGACGGACACCTTGACATTAGACTTTCCAGCCTACAGAACAGTAAGAAACCAATTTCTTTTCTTTATAAATTGCCAAGTGTCTGAGACTATGTTATAGCAGCACAAATGAACTAAAATACTAGAAAAGTGATAGCTAAGTGATGTAAAAGAATTACACATCACTATGCAAACTCCTAGCTGGCCATCAATGACTCTTAACAACACAGTAAAGCAGATGGCCAGTGTTACAGTTTGGATATGAAATGCCTTACCAAAGGCTCGTGTATTTGAATGTTTGGCTCTCAGCTGGCAGCACTATTTTGGGAGACTGTGGAAACTTTAGTAGGTGGGGTTAGGTGGAGAAAATAGGTCCTTGGGGTCCTTGAGTATATATTATGCCTGACTGAGTGCTGTTATACTCTCTACTTTCGGTCTGCAGCGATATGAACAGCTGTCTTCCACCACACCCTCTTGTCACCATGATGTCTTCCACAAGTGTTTGGGGCCAAGCAACGATGGACTGAACACTGTGAAATTCTGAGGTGTTTGGGCATAGTAATGCGAAAGTAATTAGTATAGCTAGACAATATGTATTTTCTGTTAGAAACAGCCATGCATAAATCAGATTAGACCAAACCAAACCAGAACAAAGTAGGCCAGATGGAACCATGTACTCAGTCTGCTCAAGCATTTGGGTTAGAGGAGATTCACAGGGTGACAGAGAAACCTGAGCAGACAATAAAGAACAAATGGTAACACTGGGAGGCTGAGGCAGGAGAGTTAGGTTAGAGGCCAGATGTGTTACATAGAAAGACCTGGACTTGGGGTGGGGGTGGGGGAATCTAGGTCACAGGAGACTCCATAGGACAAATAACTTCATTTTCCTCAGTAAATAGATAGTGGTAAATTAAAGAGTTGGGACCTACAGGTTGATAGAGATCTAAGAGACACACTGACAAGTCACAATGTATGTATGGATCTTATTTATACTTTAATTAAGACTACTAAAGAGAGAAATAATTGGAAATACTATTTGATGATATTAAGGAATTAATGGCATTTTTGAAATGTTATAATAGAAATTAGGATTATGTGGAGAAAAGAGTGTATATTGATATTTCAGAAGTCTGGTCCTAGATAATAAGGAAAGAAAATAAGTATGGGGACAGATATACTGTTTGGCTACCTTTAATGGATCTGAAATTTTCCACATAAAGAATCTTCTGAAGAGGTTAAAATGCTTTGGCCTGGAATTTATATTGGTTTAAAAGGTGAGGTAGGGCTGGAGAGATGGCTCAGCAGTTAAGAACACTGACTGTTCTTGCAGAAGACCCGAGTTCGAATCCCAGCACCCACATGGCAGCTAACAACTGTCTATAACTCCAGTTCCAGAGGATCCAACAGTTTCTTCTTTCCTCTGTGGGCATTGCACGACACAGGTGCACTTACCTACATGCAGGCAATGTATGCATACACATAAAATAAAAAATTAAAAAATTAATTTAAAAAATTTAAAAAGTGAGGTAGATATTTAACATTACTTCTTACCAGAAGATTACTTGGGCATACTAACAGCATATATTGAACATGCTGCCTTTTCACCATTAATTTGAGATGTCAATATTAACAATTTCCTTTTATGTTGTGATCTATTTTTAGCTTCTTGATTTTGCTCCATTGATGGGCCTGACTAGTCTTACCAGCACAAACTGTTTTAATAACTGTAATTTTGTAATGTGAACACAGGGTATAGTGGGTTTTATCTATAGGCATTTCAGAAAACAATTCTCTCAATCCTTTCACTGTTCTGATGTACCTCCACTGGCCCCATGACATCTTTACCTAAGCAATCTTTTAAACATGTAGCTTGCATCCTAGTGGTGAGTCTGGCAACTAATACACCTGCTTTGCCCTGTTCTCATGAAGATCCAGGAGGAGGCACGTTATTCTTCCCTTCCACCTGGAATGACCTAGATCTGTGCTTCCAACTTGTGCATGAGGACTTGGGATAGGTAGTAGCAGGTTGTGAGGTAGTCTGTGAAATCACGTCACATAATCCAAACTTCACAAAACCAAAACAAAACAATAACCACAATTTAAAGTCTATATAAGAATATATATCAAATGAAGAAACAAATGTATCTAAGAGTATACATCAAATGAAGAAACTTTCATTCAAGAAAACATTAATCCTTAGTAAAAACTTCAAGAATGGCACAAGAATCTGTGACCTCTCTTCTTCCTATCTCAGCTCCAGGGGTCAGCGATTTCATAGGGGATTGCGGAAGTCAGGAATGTAGCCCATTCTCAACTCAGTGTATGAGTTACTTTTCTGTTGCTGTGATAAAACACAAGGCAAATTATAGAAGTAAGAGTTTATTTGGACTTAAGTTCCAGAAGGAAGAGTCCATCAAGGTGGGGGAGGCAGGTGGCAGAGGCAGTCAGATTAGAAAGCTGAGTGAGTACTCACATCAAGTAGGCACAGAATGCAGAGAGAGTGCAACTGGAAATGGGGTAAGGCTATGAATTCTCAAAGCTTGCTTCCTGTGTCATACCTCCTCCAGGAAGGTTATAACTAAACCTTCTAAATAGCGCCATCAACAGTAGACAAAGTATTCTATGGGCCACATTCCTCATTCAAACCACCACATTTTCTATATGTTACTTTTCTGTTGCTGTGGCAAAACACCATGACCAAG